CTTGGGCCGTCAATTCGGGCGGGAGCTCCATTTCGAAAGAAGCACATAGGAATTCCGTTGTGCAAGAGACCGCCCTCCATCCTTCGAGTCATTATAAGGATTGCGGCAATGTAGGAGTGCCAAGCGACAGCCCCGCTTCGGAAAAGTTCAGCCTTCACCAGTGAGGCCGTTTCACGATTTACAAGTATTGGTCGTAAAATCTAGACGAAGCCCGTGGCGAAAACAACATTTTGAAACAGAACGGCCAGCATCTCCGTGAGGCTGAGGGTCAGTGCTACACCAGTGGTACTTTGTTCCATGGCGTGTCAGGCGAGAGCCTCCTTCTTCAAAACGCACAAGTTTGAGAGACGGCGTAGGAGCGAGCCACCTTTTGAATGAAAAGGAGCCGGCATCATTTGCGAAGCTGTCGTGCGATTGTACAAGTGTGGCAATGTGCTTGAAAGGGGTCTTTGGCGAGATCCCCATTTTGAAAGCGTGCGGGCCTCGATCCCTGTACAGTTCTTGGAGGCTTGTGGGAGGAAAGTCCGCAGCGTGCGCCTCGCGAAGGCGAGAGCTACGCTTTCAAAAGGAACCAACCTCCATCCGCGCAACGGTTTGAGACGGTTGACTTCTGGAAGTAATGTTTCCGGGTGAAGCCTCGTGGGCAGCCTTGGGGCTATCTCCGGCTGTTTTGGAACTGTTCATGGGCCCTCTTGGAGATCCTCGGGCCGTCTTGGAGCGGTTTGGGGGGCCCCTTAGGCCGCGTTGGAGCGTCGCGAAGGTTAAAAAAAAAACACATTGGAAATAGATTAATTGTACCTCTTGGGGCTCTTTTGGGATGCCTCCTGGAGGCCTCTTGGGTCGTCTTGAAGGCTTCGTGGGCCGTCTGGAGGATTTCTTGGGCGTCCAGGAGCGATCTTGTGGCGTCTCGGGGCTCTCTTGGACCATCTCGATGGCTTCTTGGGGGCCTCTTTTGGCTCTTCTTGGGGCTCTCTGGGAGGCCCCGAGGGCGGCGCCCAGGAGCAAAACCATCTCTAGCAGTGCCGGGGACCTGCCGGGGGCCCCAGTGGCAGCCCCACGCGCGCGAACTGTATATGTAGCATCCCGCAGATGCGGATAAGAGCGAGGGGGCGGTGGGGACGTCGGCAGACTGCGAGACTCTGGAGAAGCCCGCCGCCGCAGGCGCCAAAGTTTCACAAATCATACAAAGAACCCGCCACAGGCGCCGGGTCGGGCGGGTAGGTCGCGGGTGGGTCGCAAATAGGTCGCGGGTGGGCCGCGAGTGGGTCGCAAATGGGTCGCAAATGAGTCGCAAACGGGTCGCGGCCTGAGTCGCGGGTGGGTCGCGGGGTGGTCGCGGGTGGGTCGCGAGTGGGTCGCGGGTGGGTCGCGGGTGGGTCACGGGTTGTGTCGCGGGTGGGTCGCGGGTGGGGTCGCGGGTGGGGTCGCGGGGTGGGTCGCGGGGTGGGTCGCGGGGTGGGTCGCAGGTGGGACGACGACAACAAACAACAACAACAACAACAACAACAACAACAACAACAACAACAACAACAACAACAACAACAACAACAACAACAACAACAATTACAACAACAATTACAACAACAACAAGAACAACAACAACAACCACAACCACAACAACAACAACAACAACAGCAGCAGCAGCAACAACAACAACAACAACCCAGCCACCACCAACAACAACAACGACAACAACAACAACAGCAACAACAGCAACAGCAACAGCAACAACAACGACGACAACAACACCACTAACAACAACCCCGCCAACAACAACACAAACAACAACACACACACAGCAACAACAACAACAACAATAACAACAGCAACAACAACACCAACACCAACAACAACAATACCACCAACAGCAACAAACACAACAACAACAACACCAACAACAACAGCACCAGCAACAACAACAGCAACAACAACAACGACCACGATCACGACCACGACCACCACCACCACAGTAGCACCAGCAGCAGCAGCAACAGCGACAACAACAACAAGAACGCAACAAGCATAATCCTCACCACGGATCTTCACTTCAGCCATGCACACAGGGACATTGAATGACCGTTCGGCCCCCTCACTCTGAGATGTATAGCGAGATATAGAAAGAAAGAGAGTGGAATGTTTATTTGTTACCCCGGAGATCTTAGCACGCCTCTGGCCCGCTGGGCCGGCGCAGTCAAAGAGAAGTAAGGCGGAGGCGAGAGGAGGGAGAGAGGAGGCGGTGTCTGGGCAGCGGCCTCTGTGAGGTTCAGCTGGCCGGGCACGCGCCGTGCGCCCCCCCTTGGCTTCAAGCAATGGCGAAGCGTCTAAGAAACATTGGTGGTCTGCACGAAATGCTCTTAGAACATTTCTGGCGGAGTCTGTCTTGTTTGAACACATCGGTTTTATGTTCTAAGAACATTGTTTTGGTATTAAGAACATTTTTGGGTTCTAAGAAAATTTCGTGGTAGGTCTATAGAAATGCTGGGACGGTCGGTCCCTGCTCAATGGTTTCAGCTCTTGGGTGCGATCACCTCCCGCGTGAATTCAGGCCAAGGCAGCGCCCTCGGTGGGGCCGCAGCGCGTGCTGTCTTCTGCGCCCTGGCCAAACAAGTGCGATCACCTCCCGCCCTATCCGAGGCGCGGGAAATATGCGGGAGAGTGGCTGTGGGAGTTTGAGGGACTGTGGTGTGTGTGTGTGTCGCCGGCACCATACCGGGAGGGATGGTGGGCGTCGGCGATGCCATACGAGGAATGGTGCGGGGTCGTAAGCTTTGTTGGGCAGTCGGACCTGCAGATGTCGCCGGCGGCTGCGTCGCAGGCGGGCGCCGTAGCACCGTAGCACCAGACATGTGAGAAGCCGAATTGCCACTGAAAGCTTCTTTGACCATCCTACTCTCCTTCCCCGAGGCCTGCCTGGGCCACCGCCGTCGCGAGGTTGAGGCGCCTCGGCGCACGCCGTCAAGGCTGGGTGCGATCCCCTCCCGATGTGTCGAATCAAGCATTGCTCGCATCGACTGCGCCCACGATGATCTTTGAGATCATGGGTCTATCTGGTTGCAGCCGGGTCCCGGAGAGACAAGTCCGTAGGCGCCAGTGGCCTCGGCAGGGCGAAGCCTGCGCAGGCGGGCAGGCGGGCGGCGCACGCTCTGCAAGCGAGTCTCCTTGACAGCAGGACGCGGACGGGGCGGCGGTGTGCAGGAGAGCGGCAGCATGCGGGGAGGGGGGGCAAAAGGCAGGGCCAGTGATACAGATCAATCGGCCCTCCGCCTCCCCCCCTCGCCGGAGCTCTCTCCAGAGCCCCCTCTGGAAGCCTCCGGAGCTCTCCACGGAGGCTGCCAGCGGTCTGGCCCGAGCACGATCCAAAGTGCCCAACTCGCATCCAAGAAAAGAACACCACGACCAAGGACCTCCAAACACCTCTCCTCCTCCTCCTCCTCCTCCTCCTCCTCCTCCTCCTCCTCCTCCTCCTCCTCCTCCTCCTCCTCCTCCTCCTCCTCCTCCTCCTCCTCCTCCTCCTCCTCCCCTTTGCTCCTCCTCCTCCTCCCAGAAGCTGAAATTCTCAAAGTCCTTCCCAGGCGTCCGCGTCCGCCTCGGCTGCCCGGCTCGCCAGGGCGTCGCGACCCTGGCGGCGTCCGTGTACCCGAAGCGCATCATCGTCCGCCTCTCGGACTTCAAGTCCAACGAGTACAAGTCGCTCATCGGCGGAGAGGCGCGCGCCGCTCGAAGAAGAAAAGACACAAAAAACACAAACTTTGGGCGCTCCGCGCGGACTTCCTGGATCCGCGCTGGACGCCCCCCTGCTTGGCGCGGCGAGCGCGCCAGGGAGGGGCGTCCAGCGCAGATCCAAGAGACCCGCGCGGAGCGCCAGAAGTTTGTGTGTATGGTGCTGTGTCTTTTTCTACCTGCGTCGTCGCCGCCGCATCCGCCGTCGTGGTCGCCGCAGTCTTCGTCGTCGTGATCGTCGTCGTGGTCCTGGTCCCCGTCGCCGCCGCCGCCCTCGACCGCCGACCTCGCGCCCGATTTTTACCGGGGGGGGGGGGAGCAGGAGCGGGACCGAGGATCCAGGATCGATGTGTGTGTGTGTGAGAGAGAGATTTGGCGTCATCAATGCGAGGTCCCCGAAAGTCCCAACCCGTGACCCAGGGAGGCGACTGTCGTGCCGACCCGTTTTTCGACGCTCCCGGGCCCCCCGCGAGGGCACCCAGGTAATGAGGATGACGACTAATAAATGACCGGGGGTCGTGTTCACGCGGCGGCGCCCGGGATGACGATTAGAAAAAACCGGCCGCGGGCTGGATTTTTTTTTATCGTTCTCCTCCAGTCAGAAAATTATGCAGAAATAGCAGAAAACTGTGTTTTTAATCGTTCTCTCCCATTTGTTTAATGAATCGTCATCCCGCAGTACCGAAAGCGGCGAGGAGTTTCTGCCATGAGTCCGTCGGCGGGGGGCGGCCAAGAGGCCTTCGGAGGGGCCCTCCGGGGGCCTCCAGGGGCTGGCGTCGGCCACGCGACGCGTAATTGTGGTGCCTCCCTGTCTGGAGGGCCTGCGCACGTGCCTCTGATCGCCGGCTGGAGCGAGAGGTTCAGCCTGGGGTATGGGGGGGGGGGGAGGGAGAGGGAGAGGGAGGGAAAGAGGTGGAGGGAGGAGTGAAGACGGCGGGGGCGGGGGGCCGGAGGAGGGGACGAGGAGTGAGGAGGGGGGGGAGGGGCCGGAGATGGGCAGGAAGAGAAAGGAGGGCTCTTGCGCGGGAGAGGGGAGGGGCGTACGCCTTTCCCTGAGGTCCGACGTTGCGAAGAGATCGAAGCATGGTCAAAAAGGACGACCAGATCCCCAGACCCCCTCTTTCTGCGTCATTGTTTCGAGCCGGAGCGACACGTGAGGGCCCCCAGCGCCCGAGGCCAGGCGAAGACGCCCGTTGTGCAAGAATCGCAGCGCCAAGCTCTGAGGGCCATGACGCGTGAAGCGCCCGCGCCAGGCCTACGAGCCCGACGAGGAGAACCCCATGATCGGCTTCCGCGGCTGCGGCCGGTACGCGGACCCCGCCTTCGAGGACGCAGAGCGGCCCGCGGGGGGCGGTGGAGGCGCGCTCTGCCCAGGCCTCCGGCGTCGGGAGGGCACGTTGCGAGGCGCGGATGCTGCTCCCAACCATCCTGTGGTGTTGGGCCCTCGTGTTGAAGGGACAGCGCCCTGGGTTGCTCCTGCCTTCCTTCCTTCCTTCCTTCCCCCCCCATCCTCCCCCTCCTCCCTCTGCTCACCATCGGCACGTCAGCATCATCGCCATCATCGTCATCGTCACCATCACCATCATCGCCATCATCATCGCTCTCATCGTCACCATCATCAACACCCATGTCGGCACACCCCTCACAGGTTCCGTGGCCCCGTAGGGAGCTCCACAAAAGGCCCCAGTGCCACCGTCCACATGCGTCCCCCACACCCATCTCGGTGCACTCCTCACACGTTTCGTGGCCCCATAGGGAGCTCCACCGAAGGTCCCCGTGCCACCGTCCACATACGTCCACCCATCTCGGCACCCCCCTCACACGTTTCGTGGTCCCAAAGGGAACTCCAACGAAGGCCCCAGAGCCACCGTCCACATGCGTCCCCCCACACCCCTTTCGGCACACCCCTTACATTTTTCGTGGCCCCACAGGGAGCTCCACCGAAGGCCCCAGTGCCACCGTCCACTTGCGCCCCCCATACCGATTTCGGCACCCCCCTCACACGCTTCGTGGCTCCATAGGAAGCTCCACCGAAGGCTCCAGTGCCACCGTCTACACGCGTCCCCCACATTCATGTCGGTACACCCCTCACACGCTTCGTGGCCCCATAAGGAGCTCCACCAAAGGCCCCAGTGCCACCGTCCACTTGCGTCCCCCACACCCATTTCGGCACACCCCTCACACGTTTCGTGACAACATAGGAAGCTCCACCGAAGGCTCCAGTGTCACCCGTGCACATGCGTCCCCCGCACCCCTTTCGGCACACCCCTCACACATTTCGTGGCCCCACAGGGAGCTCCACCGAAGGTCCCAGTGCCACCGTCCACATGCGTCCGCCGCACACATTTCGGCACACACCTCACAGGGATCGTGGCCCCATAGGGAGCGCCACCGAAGAAGATATTCACAATCGCGGTATGCACAACTGCACATGGTCGGGTCCTTCGCCAGGCAGTCCAAAGGTTGCCATGGGGGGAATTCGAAGAAGAAATAACCACATCAGAGTGAGGGGGCCCGAACGGTCATTCACTGTCCCTGGGTGCGTGGCTGAAGTGCGGACCCACGGCGAGGATTATTGTTGCTGTTTTGTTGTTGTTGTTGTGTTGTTGTTTTGTTGCGTCGTCCCCACTCTGACCCGCCCGCGACCCACCCGCGACCCACCCCGCGACCCACCCGCGACCCACCCCGCGACCCACCCGCGACCCACCCGCGACCCACCCGCGACCCAACCCACGACCCACCCGCGACCCACCCGCGACCCACCTGCGACCCACCTCGCGATCCACCCTGCGACCCACCCGCGACCCACCCACGATCCACCCGCGACCCACCCGCGACCCACTCTCGACCCACCCCGCGACCCACCCGCGACCCACCCTGCGAAAACCTTCGCCTGCGGCGGGCTCGTTTTTGTTTATTTTGTAAAAATTAAGCGCCTGCGGCGGGCTTCTTCAGAGCCTCGCAGACTGCAAACGTCCCCGCCGCCCCCTCACTCTTATCCGCGACTGCAGGGTGCTACGTAAACACAATTTTTTGGCGCTCCGCGTGGATCTCTTGGATCTGCGCTGGACTCCCCCAGGCGGCGCCTCCGGCGCCTCCCCTGGCGCGCCCTGCGCGCCGGGGAGAAGGGAGTCCGGCGCGGATCCAAGAAATCCGCGCATACCTCCAAAAATGTCATGTCTATGTGGTTTTTGGTTCCTCTAGAAACTCACCACCCACCAAACCACCCCAACCCAACCCGAAGGCTCAGATTTACCCTCGATTTCCAGTGGGGGGGGGTCGGGAAACATTGAAAAAACACATATGGAACCCTTACCCCCCCCCCACCCGAAATTCGGGTCTTCGGGTTGGGTTGGGGTGGTCTGGTAGGTAGTCAGAAACAGGTCCTGAGGGGAACGTGTCATGAGGGTTCCTGCCGTCTCCCGGCTCTCGGGGCCCTCCACGGGCCGCGAGACTGTCAGAAGGCGGCTCAGGATGAAGATCTCGTCTCGGGAGAGGGCCCCGGGGTCCAGGACTCGTTGCCTTCGGGACCCCTTTCCCCCTGCTGGAAAGGTGGGCCCGGATGTAAAGCTGCCCTTGGCGATGGGGTCGAGAGGTCTTGTCAGAGCCCCGGATCATCAGGGGTAACTCGGGTCAGGGATAACTCGGGTTCGTTTTTCGGGAATCCAAACTCGAGTTACCCCGGACCCGAGTTACCCCGGATAATTCGGGCGTCCAGAGCCCCGAATCATCAGGGGTAACTCGGGTCAGGGCTAACTCGGGTTCCTTTTTCGGGAATCCAAACCCGAGTTACCCCGGACCCGAGTTACCCCGGATAACTCGGGCGCCCAATCTTAGGGGCGGACGCATAGCTTGCACCACCTACTCTGCACCACAGCTTATTCCCCTCGGCTTGCACCGTATACCGTGCATCTTGCACCACATACAGGCCATCGCTGAGCTGGCAAATTCTACAGATTTTTTTATATATATATATATACACACAAACATATCTGTGTAACTCTACATGTATTTACACGTGCATATAACTGTCGATGCATAGCCCCACATAGCTTACGGGACATAGCTCACATCACCTATCTTGCATCACACGGTTTGCGCACCGAGAGTGGCATGATCTACGGGTTGGGTGCATGCTGGCGAGCAGCTGGTGCTTGGCCACGTGAGAGAAGACAGCGGCTCCTGGCTGGAGAAGGAGGAGGAGGATAGCAAGGGAAGGGGGAGAAAGGAGAGGGGGCGAGGGAGGGCTAAGGATGTATAAGGGTGTTCTTGGGCGTTATACAGGGCTGGCGGGTTGTCCTCCTCGCCCTCCCCCCGTCCACCACTTCCACATCCGCGCAGCAGGGCCTCGCACAGGTGGTCGAATGGATAAGAGAGGACGGCAGAGGAGGACGAGGAGGAAAGGAAGCATCATGGATCGTTGAGCGGGAAGGTGAGGAGGAAACTGCGGATGATAGAGGATGAAGAAGGAGGATTAGGAGCAGGAGTACGATCCATCATTTGAGGGTCAGCAGGGGGTAATGGAAGACGGCGGGGATTATGAGGAGGGTGAGGAGGTGGACCTTGTTCGTCAACTTGTTGCCCGATCCCAGTGGAGACTGAACAGCAATGACACCCTCGAAGCGTTGCCACTGTAAGTAAGGAGGCGTCATGTGCCAGCATGTCAAATATTTCTTCAAGTGGTGTGGATGTTCAGCTTGAGGCGTCACCAGGGCAGCAGGGCTCTCGAATCAACTGCATGTTTGTCAGGATTCCGTCTGAGTTGACGACAAAACTATGTTATAGCTGTAGCGCCTCGCCAATAATAGAAGTTTGCACCGTCGAAGAAAAATGTGGAAGAGAAAGGGAGAGAGAGAGAGAGTGAGAGAGAACAATAGAGAGAGAGAGAGAGAACGAGAGAGAGAGAGAGAAATACAGAGATGATAGGAAGGGAGAACGAGAGAGACAGATAGAGAGAGAGAGATGAACAATCCATAGTGCACGTCTCAGCTCATGGCAGCATTTGTGCACACCGCTTTCAAGGGCTAGCTGTGGAAAACAAGTGGCACGCGTGCCTTGGCTCTTGCACAAAGGAGCTGCGAAGGACTGGGAAGCCTGGGCGGAGGAAGGCTGGACGGAGGAAGGCTCCCGAGGATGGGTGGCTCAGGGGAGCTGGGGCTCAGGCTCAGGGGGGGGGGGACGAGGGGAACGAACCACCACGTGCCACGAACCACGACGAAAATAAAGGGTTCTGCGGCCCGGGGGGGCTGCCCTGGAAAGCCTGGACGGAGGGGGGGTCCCAAGGGGGGGTGGCCCAGGGGAGCTGAGGCTCAGGCTCAGGGGAGGGGCCGAGGGGGACGAACCACGACGAACCACGAACCACGACGAAAATAAATGATTCCGGTGCCCAGGGAGGTCGTCACGGGAAGCCTGGACGGAGCAATCCTCCGAAGGGTGGGTGGCCCAGGGGAGCTGGGGCTCAGGCTCGGGGGGTGGGGGGGGCGAGGGGGGCGAACCACCACGAGCCACGAACCACGACGAAAATAAAGTGTTCCGCGGCCCAGGGGGGCTGCCCTGGGAAGCTTGGACGGAGGGGGGTTCCCACGACGAAAATAGATGGTTCTGCGGCCCAGAAAAGCTGTCCAGGGAAGCCTGGACGGAGGGGGGGTCCCAAGGAGGGGTGGCCCAGGGGAGCTGGGGCTCAGGCTCGGGAGAGGGGCCGAGGGGGACGAACCACGACGAACCACGAACCACGACGAAAATAGATGGTTCTGCGGCCCAGGGGGGCTGCCCTGGGAAGCCTGGGCGGAGCAAGCCTCCGAAAGGTGGCTGGCCCAGGGGAGCTGGGGCTCAAGCTCGGGGGGGGGGGGGGGGGGGGGGGGACGAACCACGACGAACCACGCACCACGACGAAAATGAGGTGTTCCGCGGCCCAGAGGAGCCTGGACGGAGCAAGCCTCCGAAGGGTGAGTGGCCCAGGGGAGCTGGGGCTCAGGCTCAGGGGGGGGACCCAGGGGGGACGAGCCACTCCGAGCCACGAACCACGACAAAAATAAAGGGTTCCGCGGCCCAGAACAGTTGCCCCGGGAAGCCTGGACGGAGGAAGGCTCCCAATGGTGGGTGGCCCAGGGGAGCTGGGGCTCAGGCTCAGGGAGCTGGGGCGAGGGGGACGAACCACCACGAACCACTACGAAAATAAAGTGTTCCGCGGCCCAGGGGGGCTGCCCTGGGAAGCCTGGACGGAGGGGTGGTCCCAAGGGGGGGTGGGCCAGGGGAGCTGGGGCTCAGGCTCCGGGGGGGGCCGAGGGGGACGAACCACCACGAGCCACTACGAAAATAAAGAGTTCCGCTGCCCAGGAAAGCTGCCCTGGGAAGCCTGGACAGAGGGGGGGTGCCAAGGGGGGGTAGCCCAGGGGAGCTGGGGCTCAGGCTCAGGGGGGGTGGGAGCGAGGGGGACGATCCACCACGAGTCACGACGAAAATAAAAGGTTCCGCGGCCCAGGGGGGCTGCCCTGGGAAGCCTGGACGGAGAGGGGGTCCCAAGGGGGGGTGGCCCAGGGGAGCTGGAGCTCAGGCTCAGGGGGTGGGGCCGAGGGGGACGGACCACCACAAGCCACGACGAAAATAAATGATTCCGCGGCCCAGGGGGGCTGCCCTGGGAAGCCTGGACGGAGGGTGGGTCCCAAGGGGGGGTGGTCCAGGGGAGCTGGGAAGCCTGGACGGAGGGGTGGTCCCAAGGGGGGGTGGCCCAGGGGAGTTGGGGCTCAGGCTCAGGGGGGGGGGCCGAGGGGGACGAACCAAGACGAACCACGACGAAAATAAAGTGTTCCGCGGCCCAGGGGGGCTGCCCTGGGAAGCTTGGACGGAGGGGGGTCCCAAGGGGGGGTGCCCCAGGGGAGCTGGGAAGCTTGGACGGAGGAAGGCTCCCAGGGGTGGGTGGCTCAGGGTAGCTGGGGCTCAGGGTTAAGGGACGGGGGGCGAGGGGGACGAACCACCACGAATCACGACGAAAATAAAGATGTCCGAGCTCTAGAGCACAGCTGTGCAAGACAAGAACAACGTGACTGATTCGCCCTCGGCAGCACATCCGGCCTCGCTGCAGGGTCACGCCGCTCGGGAGGCTCGCAGGCTGACTCTGGACACCTCACATCCCCTCCCCCGAACTCACTGAAGGAGGCACTGATCACACTGCATACTCAACACGGCGTCGCAACGGATCCACACCTTCGAAACAGTTGGGCATGACTGCCGAAGCGAAACTACGTCGCATTGGATTTGTGTTGAGTCGACTTGTCGCGAGGATGGTTGCCTCGCCAGATGGGCCCAGCACGTTGATGTCATTATCGGCGCGCCCCCAGCACATGTCGCAGAGATCCGTTTGCTGATTTGAGGCCGACGGCTTCTGCAAACATATTCAGATTCACAATGCTTCTCCGATCTGATGTTAGCGTCGAGACTTCTCGCCATGGTAGTCTTCAACGCTGTCAGAATTTCCCGACATTCCCGCAAGGTTCTGATATTTGGAGCCTTCAGGGACGTGGGCCATTCTTTTGCGGTGCCGCACACTTTCTCATGTGCTTTGTACGCCTCCCTGGTCTGACTAGCTTTCATGCCCAGGACTGCTTTGCCTTGGAGCTGAAGGCGATGAAGAAGGCGCTGGACTTGCGATACCTGTGCATATGTATGTTTGTGTATACGTGCATATAGGTATGTTAATACGCACACAAACATCTATGTGTAGAAACATGGTTGCACACAACCATCACCATCTACGTAACATGCACGTCTTATGAACGCGTGGGCGTATATTGATATATATGTGTGTATATCTACATACAAATGTATGTATACACATCTGTATATGTCAGAGTGTGGGGGCCGAGCGGTCAGTCACTGTCCCTGGGCACGTGGTTGAAGTGAGGTTCTGCTGTGCGGATTGTTGTTGTTGCAGTTGCTGTTGTGGTGTTGTTGTTGTGGTGTTGTTGCTAGTCGTGTAACATGATTGTTGTTGTTGGTGGTGTTGGTGCTGTTGCTGTTGCTGTTGTTGTTGTCGTTGTTGTTGCCGTTTTGTTGTTGTTGTTGGTAATGTGGTTGTTTTTGTGGTTGTCGTTTTTTGTCGTTGTCGTTGTCGTTGTCGTTGTCGTTGTTGTTGTAATTCAATATTAAGCTTTCAACAATTATCATTGTTGCCCCCCCCCACAGGCGCTTTGGCGCTGTCGCCTCGGCGCCGGCTACAGTTTCATTGGGGGGCGCCAAAACGGGCCCGTCAACAACAACAACAACAACAACAACAACAACAACAACGCTAGACTCCCTCCTTTTTCACTCAGGGCCGGTGCTTTTGCTCGCCGCCGAAAGCCGCCGTCCCAACAAAACCAGCGCTACCGCTCCAGACTTCCTCCCGTTTTACCTTGGACTGGCGCGCTACTCTTTCTCTCATCGGCGCCGCCCCCAGCAACAACAACAACAACAACGCTCCGCTCGAGACTTCCTTCCTTTTTTACTCGAGGCGGTGCTCTTCCTCGCCGCCGAAAACCGCCGTCCCGACAAAACCAGCGCTCCAGCTCGAGACTTCCACCGTTTTACGCTGGACTGGCGCCCTACTCTCTTTTGAATTGGCGCCGCGTCCAGCAAGAGCAACGCTCCCGCTCGAGGCTTCCCCCCTTTTTCCTCAGGACGGTGCACTTCCTCGCCACCGACAGCCCCCGTCCCGACAAAACCAGTGCTGCCGCTCGAGAAAACCAGTGCTACCGCTCGAGACTTCCTCGTTTTTTACCTTGGACTGGCGCGCTACTCTTTCTCTCATCGGCGCCGCCCCCAGCAACAACAACAACAACAACAACAACAACAACAACAACAACAGCAACAATCATTTTACCCGAACGCGTGGTGTTCTCCCCAGTGCCAGGGTTTTCATACGACACCAGGCAATACCCCCACTTCGTGGGGGGGCATTACAAGCTCTACCAAATATCCAAACGACTCTTCGCGACCACCCAAACCCAGCTTCCCGCCCTATGACGTTGGGACACTTCACTTCGTGGCGTGCGGACGACCGTGGCTACTACACTGGCGTGGGGTACACACCCACAGAACTTGGTCACTTATTCGGGGCGCGCATGTGCCCAGCATGGTGCAATTGTGCCATACAATACATAATACAGAGAGACGAATGTGTCCCGCATGGTATTATTTGACAGGGATGATGGCCCTGGCAGGTGCGCAACCGTTGTCGCAGAAGTTCGAAAAAGTTGCTCGCAAAAGCCCGTTTGACAGAAATGTTTAAAAAGTGTTGGGTTTCCTACGAATCCGCAAGAGCGCGCGGGATGAGATTTTGACATTTTTTTGTTGAAAAACCATTGGTTTTTTGATGTTTTTATGTTAAAATCGCTCCGAACACTAAGCTTTTGGAAGGATTTCGTCTTGCGCGCGCGAATGTCCACTTTACCTTATTTTTTGCAAGGGATTCTTGAAATTTGATTATATTTGAACAAGAAATTTCATTTTATAGTGTTTTTTGCAAGGGAAAGCGGATTACAACAAAACAACCGGATCTTGATCAACTCGAATTACTTGAGGCTTCCTCACGAAAATGATGAAAACGTGGCTGCGGCCTAGGCGCGGCGGGGGGGGCGCGCACCAGGGGGCCCAACAATAATTATTCTTTAGAATTAATAGTGTTCAACAACAACAACGCTCTCGCTCGAGATCTTCTCACTTTTTCACTCAAGGCGGTGCTCCTCCTCGCCGCCGAAAACCGCCGTCCCGACAAAACCAGCACTCCAGCTCGAGACTTCCCCCCGTTTTACGCTGGACTGGCGCCCTACTCTCTTTTGAATTGGCGCCGCGTCCAGCAAGAGCAACGCTCCCGCTCGAGGCTTCCCCCCTTCTTCCTCAGAACGGTGCTCTTCCTCGCCACCGACAGCCCCCGTCCCGACAAAACCAGTGCTGCCGCTCGAGAAAAAAACAGTGCTACCGCTCCAGACTTCCTTGTTTTTTACCTTGGACTGGCGCGCTACTCTTTCTCTCATCGGCGCCGCCCCCAGCAACAACAACAACAACAACAACAACAACAACAACAACAACAACAACGCTCTCGCTCGAGACCTTCTCACTTTTTCACTCAAGGCGGTGCTCCTCCTCGCCGCCGAAAACCGCCGTCCCGACAAAACCAGCGCTCCAGCTCGAGACTTCCCCCCGTTTTACGCTGGACTGGCGCCCTACTCTCTTTTGAATTGGCGCCGCTCCCAGCAAGAACAACGCTCCCGCTCGAGGCTTCCCCCCTTCTTCCTCAGGACGGTGCTCTTCCTCGCTGCCGACAGCCCCCGTCCCGACAAAACCAGTGCTGCCGCTCGATATTATTTCCCTTCTTACTCAAGGCGGTGCTCCTCCTCGCCGCCGGCAACCGCCGTCCCAACAAAGCCAGCGTTCCCGCTCGAGACTTCGTTTTGTTTTACGCTGGACTGCCGCCCTACTCTCTTCAGCATTTGCGCCGCTCCCAGCAACAACAGCGGCTCTGCTCGAGAGTTCCTCCCTTTCTATTCAGGGCCAGGTCCTTGCCTAGCCGTCTCCACCAAGGCAATCCTGTCGCTCGATACTCCCTTGTGCTTTACTCTTCGCTGGGGCTCCACTGGCGGTCTCGCATCGGCGCAGCAAGGCGCGGGCATGCGTTTTCGAGGCGGGATATGTTGGAATTCTTCGGACGAGGTGTTTGCAAGACCTCATTGGGTGGGAGATCTGGGAATGGTAATCACGGACCCCGCTATGTAACAATAATCCCCCATGATGGGGATGGTTATTATGATGGTCACATGCTTCGTGTGGAAGCATCGCGTATGAGGGTAACATGATCGTTTCTGTTTTTTTGTTTGTTTGTTTGTCTGTTCGTTTGTTTGTTTGTTGTCGTCGTCCCCCCTGCGACCCACCCGCGACCCACCCGCGACCCACCCGCGACCCGGCCCGCGACCAACCCGCGACTTGGCCCGCGACCCACCCGCGACCCACCCGCGACCCACCCGCGACCCACCCGCGACCCGGCTGGCGACCCGACTCGCGACCCACCAGCGACCTACCCGCGACCCACCCCGCGACCCACCCACATAGTTTTATCAACAAATCGGCGCTTGTGGCGAGCTCGTTGTATAATTTGAGAGAATTAGGCGCCTGCGGCGGGCATACTCAGAGCCTCGCAGAGTGCCGACGTCCCCGCCGCCCCCTCACTCTTATCCGCAACTGCAGGGTGCTACGCACATCAGAGTGAGGGGGCCGAACGGTCATTCATTGTCCCTGGGTGCGGGGCTGAAGTGCGGATCCGTGGTGAGGATTCTGCTTGTTGTTGTTTGTTTGTTTGTTTGTTTGTTTGTTTGTTTGTTGTTGTTGTGGTTGTGGTTGTGGTTGTGGTTGTGGTTGTTGTTGTTGTTGTTGTTGTTGTTGTTGTTGTTGTCGTCGTCCCCCCCGCGACCCACCCCGCGACCCACCCGCGACCCACCTCGCGACCCACCCGCGACCCACCCCGCGACCCACCCCGCGACCCACCCGCGACCCACCCCACGACCCGCTCGCGACCCACCCCGCGACCCACCCGCGACCCACCCGCGACCCGGCCCACGACCCACCCCGCGACCCACCCGCGCCCCACCCGCGACCCACCCGCGACCCAACCCGCGACCCACCTACACTGTTCAACAAAAAGCCGGCGCCTGCGGCCCGCTCGCTGTATAGCTTGAACAATGTTGCGCTCGCAGACTGCCGACGTCCCCGCCGCCCCCCGCACTCTTATCCGCAACTGCGGGGTGCTAGGTATTGTTGCAAGTCTTGTGCATACATGTTCGCCACTTGTACATCTGTGAATACGCATGTACACACATATATATATATATATATATATATATATACATATATATATATATACATGTAGAGAGAGAGAGAGAGAGAGTGTGTGTGTGTGTGTGGCCGTCGGCCCATCCCGCCACCGTGCCAGGATTTCTGGTCTGCGGCCTCTTGGATGCTTGTGAGGATCTCTTGGGGGGCCCCTCTTATGCCTCTTGGATGCGGTTTTCCGTGTGTCTTGGGGCGTTTGGGGGGCCTTTTAGGGCCTGCTTTGGGCCTCTCGGGCCCTCTGCAGGGCCTCTTGAGGCCTCTTGGGCGCACCTCGGGAGCTTCTGGGGGGACTTTGGGTTGAAAATGTCACTTCGTGTTCCCCTTCTTGAACCCTTCTTGGGGCCGTCTTGGGCGGCTCTCCGGATCCTTGTGGGGTCTCTTGGGCTGCTTTGGAACGATATTTTGCGCTTCTTGGGCCGTCTTGGACGCTCTGAAGACCGACAAGGCGTTCATGCGCAAACCTTGCAACAACCAATGGATATTGACGAGACGAGACGGTCCCCATGGCCATCTGAAACCACGCTGGGGATGCATATCCCGAACAACACGCTCTTGGCCTTCTTGGCTTCTACAAGAAGAGTCACGCGGGGACCCCCCGAGAGCCCCCGGGAGCGCCCAGAACCTAGGCCTGTGGGCTCCGTGAAGAACATTTACATAATCCGAGGCAGGAAATTCGAGGGAACCTGAGGACATTCCAATTCGTTCCGCAGGGCATGGTGGCGAACATACACACACCACACACCACACACACAACACACACACACAACACACAC